CCTACTTTTTTTTTTTTTTTTTCGTACATGTCCTTTTCAATCCTTTCGATCGTTTGCTGGTTACCATTTTTGCCAAGCAGTTCCTGTGATGACACTGGTGATCACTGCTGGTGAGAGCATGTCTGTCAGAGGTACGGTTTGCGAGTGTAGTTGGTCCTTGAGCATGTGCAGGTAGTTGCAGTTTTGGACTCATTGATTGCCTTTAATGTCTTGTGCGTGCTGAAGTGAGGAACGCCTATGACGACCATCTTTCTTGTTGGACTCCCGACATCCTCTGATGAGAACGCTCTCTCAGGCATGGTTTGCCATACGTACTGGGTCCTTCTGCACATGTGACACACGAGATATAGGCAACGCTGAGTCGCCACTCCACTCATGGTGGCGTGTAATGAAACTTTGTTGGGCCGCATGCCTGTGAAGACACTGTTTGTTGGATTCCCACTGACATTCTGTGATGAATGCATGTCAGAGGCATAGCGTGGCATTCGCAATAGGTCTTTGAGCATGTGCAGGCTTGCGGACAAACGCAGTGTCTGGTTGGCCCTCGGGAAAGGATTGTTGGTGAGGCGGCCGAGGTTATCGGAGGCCGATTGACAGTTGCAGTTGGTTCAGTAGAAATGCCGGTGATGAAAATATCTTGTTGAATCCCACTGAGACTCTGTGCTGGGGAAGTCTATCAGATGCACAGTTCGCTGTGCATAGTGAGTCGTGGAGGATGCGCAGGCACAGGCAGCTTTGGATTGCCGTCGATTGTTTGCAGCGTGGCTATGGATTCTGTCAGCGCTCATGTTGCCAGTCGCGCTTGGACGATGTGTAGTAATGCCAGCGACGATAACCTTATGTCGGAGTCCGACTGACAGCTTGTGATGAGAAAGTTCGCTGGAGGCAGGCTTGTATGCTTGGTCCTTCAACATGTGCATGTGAAGGCACTGTTTTGGTGGCTTGTGCATGGTGAGCACGTACGCCAGAGATGTGGTTTGGCATGCGCATTTGCGCTTTTATTCGTTTAATGAGGTCGCAAAGTCAATTGCGGACACAGCCTAACTTAAGCTCGTGCTTGTGATGCAAGCGTTTCTGGGAATTCTAACCACCCAAGGGTCCGAGTACTTGTACTTTAGGTACTCTTACCAAATCCGAGGCACTTGATTATTGGACACATTGGCCCTCTGGGTTCTTCTTGGACAACGGTTGTTGGCTTTTGCTGAGACCCTCCTTGCAGACAAAAAACGGTTGTATGAGAAGATGCCTGCAATGGCGCATGGTAGTTTCCAACAATTGCGGGCCCCACGTAGACACCCAGACGTAGTATACTCCTTGTTATAATGACCCAAAATAGGGACCCCTAATCTTTGAAAACCTTCACATCTTCATTTGCTTCTACTTGGAAACAAAGCCTGCTTCGTCGAACGCTTGCGCGAATACAATTGCTGGCTGGAGCCGTCTGAGTTCATCCGTCTGTGGTGCAGGGTTTAAGGTTGCCGTTTCGTAGCTGACGTGATGCTAATGTCATGAATATGCCAGCAAAAAGCAGCGAGATGAACCAAACCGCGCAGTGTCGTTGCGTGAGCTGACCCCTCATTGGACTCAAACGCGGGTCCTCAAAAACCGGCTGGCTTCAAATGAAGAAATCCTGGCAATGTTTGGGCTTTAGGGGATCATAGTTGCAGGATGCTTGAGAATGATTGTGAGAAGTTCTTAGATCTACCTTATGCGGCAGATGGTGGCACCAGAACATGGACACTTTGCAGAAAACGCTTGGGAATCGGACAAATTCCGAACGGGTCCCTCCAGTAAGGATACCCGCATCTGGGGCAACATAATCTTTACTAAGGATAACGGTATGTGGGCCATATACATGGGACCTTTCCGGCCCTTCCTGGGCGCATGCTTGTGCCAGGCTCTGCCGATGATGAACCAGAATGACGGATTCCCACTGAGATCTGATGAGTTGCAACTCAGAGGCAGATACTTCATCCCGATTTCCTGGCCACCCTAAACCCCCAATCCCTTAAATCACCGAACTCTAAAGGCTTTACACCCTTGAGGGTATTCGGAGAGCTCGGGAGCCTTAAAAAAGTCTTAGGAAGCACACTTAATATAGCCTCCGATAGCGCAAGCTGTCCGCATTCATAAGCTACTTGCGAAGCTCCCTGGCCTGAGGCAGTGATTAGACGGAACTTGTTCCTGTTTGACCTATGGACCTATAGTCTAAACTCCTTAAACGGGGGTTATATAGGGGATTATATAGGGGACTACTATGGGGGTTATTAAGGGGGATACTAGGAGTTTAGACTGAGTCATTTGACAAGTCCAGCCTTGCCCCAACACTGGCCAGGCTTGCGCCCTTAAACTATAACATTCCAGGTTTGCACCAAGCAGTTCGACCTCTGTCTGGAAAATCTCGTCCTTTAAGATGAGACAGCGCGACCGGCCTGCAGAAGAGATGAGACCCACGGAAGAAAGCACGAATGTGCCTGCTGCCGGTGATGGCACGATCTCCATACTCCCGGCTTGTTCTGTGCAGCGTTTAGATGCTTCCGCAATGTGGGTATGTCTGAAAATGGGCGTCGCCATTGTCTAACCCCAATAAACGAGAATTCTTATCATAGGGACTCCCCAAGATGGAACCAAACATTTGAAGGCAAGGAGGATTACCTAGATCCTTGCATATTGCATGTAGGTTCCGAAGCCGAGTCGAAGTACTCAGGCCTCGACGGTATTTCGGTATTGAAATTTGTCTTCCAAGGTGTCACCGGGAGTTGAACCCACTTTTGATCTGCCAGGACCTACTCCCTCATAGACCTTCTGTGAGTTGTCGCAGTGATATGAAAAGCCCTTGCAAGCAAGTTCTATCTGGAATGTGGCTAAAAGCCGCGTGCGGGGACAGCACAGAGTGATGCGTTCCGTGGCCGGAATCAGGCACCAGTCCTCAACGAAGGAGACAGCTGATCGTACTACTTGCACCAGTAGCAGTGCAGTGCGCGTTCTCCATAACTGCACTAATGGCACTGGCAAGGAACCACAAGGAAAGTGTTGTCAGTACGCATTTACCAGCTTTGCTATGCATGTTCGCTGATCCGTGAGCTGGGTGCCAGCTACCTTTCTTTTTGCATGAAGCCTCACGGGAGCACCATCGGAAACCCCTTTTACCCATATATACGATAATCCCTATAAAGTAGTGGACTCTCAGGCCGCCCCCAACTTTCAGAAGCCTTTTCAGCTGACTTGTAGGAACAGCTGGGATCAGTCATCTCTCAGGTGTAAAGGGAAT